GTATTGATCTTCCTGCTTGTTTCTTCTTGAAATTTCCCCAGCCAATCCCAGTATCTAGAGCTTTTGTTCAGAAACTTCAGAACTGTACAGGTGAGTCTTTAGCTCCAGAAGCAACTACTTGTTAGAATTGTGAGGGCCAAACTTCAAATTCAAGTGATCTTAGATAACTCAGTGTTGTCAGTGTTAATATTTACGGGTAAAGATGTCATGGAGCTTTGAACTAACAAATGGTAAGTACTTTCAGCATACATAGATGGGTGAAGTTGATGTCCTGAAGGGAAAAGTGAGCTGTCAACATATTTAATCTTTTTTTTTTTTTTTTTTTTGCTTTTTTGGGTCACACCTGGCGATGCACAGGGGGTACTCCTGGCTCTGCACTCAGAAGTTACTCCTGGCAGTGCTCAGGGGACCATCTGGGATACTGGGAATCACACGTGGATCAGCCGCGTGCAAGGCAAACGCCCTACCTGTTGTGCTATCTCTCTAGCCCCCAACATAATCTTGTGGTGATCATAATACTAATCACTTTTCCAGGAATTCCACTGTTTGAAACTCAACCCGCTTATGTGCCGCTTTATGAACTCATCACTCAGTTTGAGCTGTCAAAGGACCCTGATCCCATCCCTTTGAATCATGACATGCGATTTTATGCTGTAAGTAAGGCACTATAGATTGTTGTACTTATTTTTGGCTGCAAGGTCATAATCTTTCTGTGATTACTGAAACCAGTTAACTTTCTTTTGGACTGCTGAATTTAATCCTTTTTGTTAGACAGGACATTATCAAAATCTCTGAAAAACACTGAAAATATATTTCTAAATCTGGAAATAACAATACACGTTTTACTTTTGAAATTCTAGAAGAAAATCTGCTATGATATTTTGAACCTTTATAAGCTTAGAAATTGATATTAAGAATTCTTTTAAGATTGCACTCATTTGTGGAATATAAAATAACAGAATGGGAGACTAACACCCAAGAATAGTAGAGATAAGTACCAGGAGGATTACTCCACAGGTTAGAAGCTGGCCTCACATGCTGGGGGAAAAGGCAGCTCAGATAGAGAAGGGACCATCAAGTATAAGGGTGCTAGGAAGGTCCACTTGGGATGGGAGATGCGGGCTGAAAGTAGACTATAGACCGAACGAACATGGTGGCCACTTTGCAACCATTGCAAACTACAACACCCAAAAGGAGAGAGAGAGCAAAAGGGAATGCCCTGCCACAGAGTGGGGTGGAGGGGCCGGGGGCAGGGTGAGGGGTGATGCTGGGACCATTGGTGGTAGAAAATGGGCACTGGTGGAGGGATGGGTATTCGATCATTGTATAACTGAAATGCAAGCACAAAAGTTTCTAAGTCTGTAACTGTATCTCATGGCGATTCACTAATAAAAAATTAAAAAATTAATAATAAAAACAAAAGAATTTTTAAAAAATTATTTCTTTTGGGAGCTGGAGCAGGTAGGACATTTGCCTTGCATGTGCCTAACCTGGGTATCCCCACATCCCATATGGTCTCCCGAGCACTGTCAGGCGTAATTCTTAAGTGCAGAGCCAGGAGTAGCCCCCTGAGCATTGCCAGGTGTGGCCCAAAAACAAAAGAATAATAATACCTTGTGGGGGCGGGTGCTGAAGCAATAGTATAGCGGGTAGGGCATTTGCCTTGCACATAGCTGACCCAGGATTGATGCCCAGTATCTATTGTCCCTATAGCCCTGCCATGAGTGATTCCTAAGTAGAGCCAGGAGTAAGCCCTGAGCACCACTGGGTATGGAATTCCCCCCCAAAAAAAAAATCTTTCCCCCCTTGGTTTTTGGACCACACCTGCCTATAAATACAGACCATTGTCTCTGTGTGTGTGTGTGTATTTGATATTCTTTTTTTTTTTTCTTTTTGGGTCATACCCAGTGATGCTCAGGGGTTAGGGGTTACTCCTGGCTCTGTGCTCAGGAATTATTCCTGGTGGTGCTTGGGGGACCATATGGGATGCCAGGGATTGAACCTGGGGTGGCTGCATGCAAAGCAAATGCCCTACCCACTATACTGTTGCTCCGGCTCCAATATTCTTTAAAGACAGCTAAGTTTATCTTCTGCAAAGGATCTTTAATTGAAAATTACTAAAATAAGATAAATAACACAAACTCAGGGGCTGGAAAGATAGTGGCTCTCCTGGTTTACTCCTGGCTCATTCCTGTCTCTGCACTCAGGAATTACTCCTGATGGTGCTCGGGGGACTATATGGGATGCCAGGGACTGCACCTGGGGCAGCTACATGCAGGCCAAGAATTCTACCCTCTGTACTATCTCACTGGGTCCAGTGGGTATTTTTTTCGGGTAGTAAGTGGAGTACATTTGGAGGAGGTACATAGCATTCATTACCTTTGTGCTCTTTTGCCCAGGCTCTTCCTGGTCAGCAGCACTGCTATTTCCTCAACAAGGATGCTCCTCTTCCAGATGGTAGAAGTCTGCAGGGGACTCTTGTTAGCAAAATTACCTTTCAGCATCCTGGTCGGGTTCCTCTTATCCTAAATTTGATCAGACATCAAGTAGCCTATAACACCTTGATTGGAAGCTGTGTCAAAAGAACTATCCTGAAAGAAGGTAATACCTTTCCTTTTTCTATAACTTAATGATAGAAGCAGAACACTTAAAGTTTCTCGAATTCAGATGACTTGTGGAGCTTTTGAAAATAGATAAAATATATATATACTTGGTTTCCACACATACTCCCACTAATTGGAACTAGAATCTCAATGGGACGTGTTTGGCAATCTGGTTTATGTTCTACAAAAATGGAACCAATTTGTAAATTGACATACTGAAGCAATTGTTTTTTTTGCAATAGATTTTTTATGCTTTTACAGTGGTGAGTTGATTTAATTGAATGTCTCAGAGACTTGAACCTGTTAGCAAGTGTATAAAGTAGAACTTGGGGTATACAAAAATGAGAATTTCTTTGTTGTTGTTTTCATGAGTTCAGTGGGCTCAGAGGTCACTCATGATATTCAGAGGTGCCTGTGGAGCTCGGTGTGGATTGAACTGTAGTTTATTGCATATAAAACAGGCACTAAGCCCTTTGAGCTATCTCTCCTGCTCAGGAAGATTTCTTTAAATCTATTGGTTGTGAGGCAAAATATTAAAAAATAAATTTCAGGGGCCAGAGAAATGGTACAGTGGTTAAAGAGCTTGCTTTGCATGCGCTGAGCTGGGTTCAGTGCTCAGCACTGCCTAGGTCCCCTGAGCACTGTCAGCAGTGATTCCTGAATGCAGAACCGGGCGTGGCCCCCAAAACAAAAATAGTAAAATTTGTTTAAAAATAAAATTTCAGGGGCTGGAGTGATAGCACAGCGGGTAGGGCGTTTGCTTCGCACGCGGCCGACCCGGGTTTGATTCCCAGCATCCCATATGGTCTCCTGAGCACTGCCAGGAGTGATTCCTGAGTGCAAAGCCAGGAGTAACCCCTGAGCATCGCCATGTGTGACCCGAAAAGCAAAAAATAAATAAATAAAATTTTTGGATCAGACCCTTGCCTTGTATGTGGCTCAATAGGACCCTGGTTCAATCCCCTGCACCACCTTATACGGTTCCCTTAATACTGCCAGGAGTGATCCCTGACCACCAGGTATGGCCCCTAAAAATAACAGAAATTTAGGATAGCTATAGTTTAAAGGTTTAGAGTGCATGATTTCCATGTAGGCAAACCACACACTGCATCACATCACATTGTCCCCTGTGTACTTACTGCCAGAAGAAATTTAAGCACTGAGCCAGGAGTAGCCCCTGAGAACCACCTAGTATGACCACAAATGATCCCCTACCCCTCCTGAATATTTTCTTTATTGGTGGTATTCAGGGCTTACCCCTGGCTCTGCACTCAGGTATCATTCGTAGTGGTACTTAGGGGAGCATATCTGGTGCCAGTTACTGAACTCAGATTGGCTGTATGCAAGGCAAGCACCCTGGCCACTATACTATTGCTCAAGCTTCTCCCCCCATAATTTTGAAAATAATTTAGCTTGTTAGAGTTATTCTTATTCTCCAATTAATAAGAGATTTTGTTTAAGAGAATAGAAAGGCGGTAGTGGTTGGGCAGTGGGGGAAAATGCAGGAAGCATGCCATGACATGAGAATAGTCTCCAAAGCAGAATTCTCTTCCCATGAGGGAGTTCTAAGTGTATTTCTTCTCCTCATTCTTGGAATCCTGAATTATAATGCTTAAAAAGGTAAGAGAAGGTGGCTAGAGAGATCGTACAGGGGTTAAGTTGATCCCTAGTATCACATGGTTCCCTGAACACCGAGCTGTCAGTTATCCCCAGGCCCTACCACTTGTGTCCCACTCCTACATCCCCCAAGAAAAGTTTAAGATCACTAGAGATAACTCATCTGGCTTTGTTGTATGCAGGAGACTCAGGTTCTATCCCTAGTACATGATACTAAATGGTCCCTGGACCATTTCTAGAAGCAACCACTGAACACAGAGTTAGAAGGAGCACCTGAGCTGTCACGGGGTAATGACAGAAAATCTCAACAAAACAGTACATAGAACTTTTGGGCGAAAGATGGCTGACAGGATCAGCTCCTGCTTTTCATGCCTCAAGGCTAGGATTTAGTGATCAGCTTTGCATGGTTCCCTAAGTACTACCAGGCGTGACCTCTGAGCAGAGAAGTGGAATTAGCCCTTGAACATAGCAGGGTGTGGTCCCAAAATTTAAAACAAAAAATTGGGAGTTGGAGATACAGTACAAGATTTAAGGAGCTTGCCTTGCATGCAGCCAACCCTGGTTCCATCCCCAACACCTTATACAGTCCCCTAAGTGCCTCCCAGAATGACATCTGAGCACACAGCAACAAATAGACCCCAGGCACTGCCAGGTATGACTCCCCAAACCAAATAAATTAAAAAGTTTAAAAGTCAATTGCCCTTTTCTCTTTGAGGATTTTGGAGGCTTCTGATGTTCTGGATTAGAAGGCTTGATGTGTTCTAACCTTTTTACTTTTATTTTAATATGGAATGCTTATGAACTTTTGTGTCGTCTTTGCACAGGGCCCATGCTAATCATTGTATCATTCCAGTTTTATACTAAATGTGCTGCCAAAGCAAGCACTACCTTTCTTGTAAGGTGCTTAAGTGATAGAAAAGTGCTAATGTGAACAGCAGACAGAAAGGACTAGGGAAGGTAAATCAGAGATCTTTTATGGGGATAGGAATATATAGGGTCTGGAGAGATAGTACAGGAGGTAAGGCACTGTCCTTGCTTGCATATGACCATCCCTGATTTAATCCCAGAACATAGAGCTAGGAGTAGCCGTGTTGGGTCTGATCCCAAAATCCAATCCTCATAGCCCCCCAAAAAACACGAAACCAAGAGTTGATTAATAGAGATGAAATTTTAGAGTTACTGACACAATATTACATTGTTCTTAATTTTTTTTGCTGGGGGTTGTTTGACTACACTCATTGGTACTCAGGGGTCATTATTCCCAGCTTTGTGCACAGGAGTCACTTGGACTATGTGGTACAGGCACTAAAGCATGGGTCATCCACATGTCACACCTTTTCCCCTGTTCTCTAGTCCACAAATTATGATTATGGTTCTATTTCATGTCTGAATCCTATAATAAGCTCCAAATAGATATGTGAGATCTAAAAATGAGTTTCTATTTATATAACTTTGGCTTTGGAGCAACACCTGGTGATGCTCAGGGGTTACTCCTGGCTCTGCATTCAGGAATTGCTTCTGGCAGTGCTGAGGGGAATTGAACCCAGTTTGACCATGTGCAGAGCATACGCTCTACTGACTGTAATAGCTCTCCAGCTTTTTTTTTTTCGCTTTTTGGGTCACACCCAGCAATGCTCAGGGATTACTCCTGGCTCTGCACTCTGCACTCAGGAATTGCTCCTGGCAGTGCTCAGGGGAACATATGGGATGCTGGGAATCGAACCTGGGTTGGCTGCGTGCAAGGCAAACGCCCTACCCACTGTGCTATCTCTCCAGCTCTTTAAATGAGGGTTTTTATTTGTTTTGGCTTTTGTCATATCCAACAATGCTCAGGGGTTACTTCTGGCTCTGCACTCAGGAATTAATCCTGGCGACGCACAGGGAACCATATGGGATGCCGGGGATCAAATCCTGGTCTGCTGCATGCAGGGCAAACACCTTAGCTGCAGTATTATTGCTCTGCCCCCCAAAGTGAGTATTTAAAGGTAGCTAGGAAATTAGGCCTATAATCATTCTTTTTTTTTTCTTTCCCTCAGAAAATATATATTTTTGTGTCAACTGCCACAAGTTTGTTTTAGGGAGCTAGGGTGACACCTGTAAGATTATCTGGCATAAATATCTCACTTTCGGTAGTAGCCCCTGTATCCTTTATATCATATTGTGAGCTGCACATGTAATAGAAAGTAAACAGAAAGCAGTTGATCGGGGCTGGAGAAGTTAGGACAGGGGTTAAGTCACTTGCCTTTCGTGTGCCTATCCCTGTTTCAATCTCTCCAGCCCCTTTGTTTTGGAGTATTTAAAATAAACTGGTACATTCCTTGGATATTGACACCTTCTATCATTTGTGTATTATATAGTAGTGTGGGTATTTAAGGAGGGAAATTTTCCTTTATACATAAGGTATAAATGGAGATGTTACTGGTACCGGCTCCAGCAAATCGATTTTCAATGGACTGACAGTGCAGTGCTACAGTGCTATACATCGGGGCTCTTATTTTGTTTCTTTGTGCCACAACTGGCAGGGTTTACTCCTGATTTGTGTTCAGGGATCACTCCTGGTAGGGCTCAGAGAACCATATAGGGTGCCAGGTGTCACATCTGGGTTTTTTCACTTGCATGGCAAGTCCCTTACCGCTGTACTGTCTCTTCAGTTAGGGATTATTTTTTTATTCCCTTCCTTCCTTGCTTAAGTCATCATTGTTGTTGTGATGACCAGGGGTTATATATATGCATGGATATGGTGCTTTCACTTGATTTTTTTCCTAGCTCTGTGCTCAAAAATCATTCCCTGTAGATCTCAGGGAGAATCACAGGAGTGCCTGGGATCCAACCCAAGTTACTCTTGGGCAAGAAAGGCACCCTGCCAACCACTGCCCTATCTCTTTGGCTCCACTTTCATATCTTTTTTAAATTTTGCTTTTTTTGGATCACACCCAGTGACGCTCAGGGGTTACTCCTGGCTTTGCATTCAGGACTTACTCCTGGCGGTGCTCAGGGGACCATATGGGATGCCAGGGATTAAACTTGGGTCGGCCATGTGCAAGGCAAATGCCCTGCCCACTATACTATCGCTCCCATCCCTCACTTTCATATCTTTTAAGTTTTTGTGTTCACCAGGGTTCACAGTCAGGTTGCGGTGCCCAGTGAGGTTTACATGCTGTTCATGGCAGTGCTTGCTTCCCAGGCTCCTGCTCTTGGATGAAGCACACAAGATCCAGTTGTGTTTGTTAGCTATGTTGCCGTGATGTTACACACTTGCTTTTCATGGGCCACACTTCCTGACTGTGATGTTTCTATATCTCTAGTTGCATTGTTCATTGGTGGGGTCAGGGGGTGAGGGTGGGAGGATGTTATACCCTTTTTGTGACTTCAGTGAGGCCAGAAATTGCTTTTGGCACCATAGTCATCAATGGCTTTGCTGCCAGACTTAAACAGCAGAGCCACCCAGATTGCACTTGGCACGAAGCACAGTGGTGATTTTGTGATCATGTACTTGCAGGTTGGTGGACTGAACACCTGCCCTCCTCCTTTCTGCCGCTCTTTTTTAGGGCTTGCCACTTGTTTGTCTCAAGCCTTCGAGTTGGCTGCTTGTTTTATGATCATATCTTTGTCTTTTAGATTCTCCTGGGCTCCTCCAATTTGAAGTATGTCCCCTCTCAGAGTCCCGTTTCAGTGTATCTTTTCAGCATCCTGTGAATGACTCCCTGGTGTGTGGTGAGTTGTGTGGGAGGGTAGCACCCCTTTCAGGGCAGCTGTTTGGTCCCTTTAATTTTCATGAACATTTAAAAGCTGACTTTCTCAAACATCTCATGTATTTTGTCTTTCAGTGGTAATGGATGTTCAGGACTCAACACATGTGAGCTGTAAACTCTACAAAGGGTTGTCAGATGCACTCATCTGCACAGATGACTTCATTGCCAAAGTTGTTCAGAGGTAGCACTGTCCCCCTTTCCTTCAGAGTCCCATAAAGAGGTGTATAAGAAACATTGTCTTCTGTATTGTGGTGGATTGAAGTTTTTGGAAGGAAGCATTTAATCACTGCTTTACGAGAATTTACCCTTCTTTTGACTTTAAAGTAGTAAGTTTGGGGAGATAGCTCCATTAACATGGCACGTGCCTAGCACATGCAGAGCCCTTAGCTTGATTCCCAGCATCATTGAGTCCCCTGGGACCACAGCCACAACCCATGCATACCACACTAGATTGGCCCCTATATAATTAAAAACAAACTCAAAACAATGAAAAAGCAGTATGTACTAAGATATAAATTCATTTTGGGGCCATGCTAGGTGGTTGCTGTGGCTTCTCCTGGCTCAGTGCTTGGGGGTTGCTCTGTGTGAGGACCTCTAATGAGGACTGTGTGGTGCCAGGGATCAAACTTGGGCCTCATGCACAGCATGTGCTCAGCCCATTAAATTATCTCTGGTCTGAGTTTTGATATTTAAAATATCATTATGAAAATAATGAAAATATTATTAAGAAGTAGGTAACATGACAATTTAAGGCTTCTCACAGCGGGTAGGGCGTTCGCCTTACAAGCGGCCAACATGGCCGACCCGAGTTCGATTCCTCCGCCCCTCTCGGAGAGCCCGGCAAGCTACCGAGAGTATTCGATATGCCAGACTCAGTAACAACAAAGTCTCCAATGGAGACGTTACTGGGCCCGCTCGAGCAAATCGACGATCAACGGAGGGCCTTTACCTTTACCTTTACTTTTTGAGGGAGAATGCTGAAAGAATATGAAGGGGTTTGTGTAACTCACATTACTGAGATTGCAATGACTGGGAATTGCATGCACAACTGGCTGTTGATGCTCGTGCATTCATTTGTGGTGTTCATTTTCTTTTTGGTTTTGGGTCACACCCAATGATACATAGAGGCTACTTCTGGCTCTGGTCGGAGGTGCTCCTGGTGGTGCCCAGGATTGCAGGGGTATTGTGGGGGAATCAAGCCTAGGCCTCTGACATTCAAAGCATGCACTCTGAGCTTCTCTCTTGCTCCAAGAGATTTTTCTAATGGTTAATTAGAATAATTATAATGTATTAATAATTTAAGGTGAATCCTGAAAACTTTTCTTCCCATGTTCACTATCACCCGTTTTGAGTACAGTAGGTTAGTTGTTATTTGGATTCTTGTATATGATTCATTTGTTTTTTGGAGGTACTTCAAGAGTTGTATACACATCCAGATTACTTTCTAGAGTGAATTATCTGAAATTGTTGGTGTTTCATAGAACAGCACCTATATTTTGGGGTACTTGCTTTTCATTAAAATTGCTTACTGTAAACCTTTGGTTATGTATCTGAGTCTTGGCAAAATTAAAACCTTTTTCCTGAATGACAAACTAATTTCAGGTGTCAAGAATTTGGTAAGCAGTAATTTGCATATGTGAAGCCCACAACACCAAAATAAAGTAAGGGGTCAGAGTAAGGTCAACAGGCTGGAGTTCATATTGTGCATGCACGAGCCCTGGATGTGATCCCTGGGATAGCATAGTTCCATGAGCACTGCCAGTAACCACCCAGAACACTGATCCAGAAGTAGCTCTTGGGTCTCTCCAGGTGTGATACAAAAAAAAAACCAGAAAAAAACACAAAACAAAATTCCACTAGTTGAAGAAAAATTTACTTCATCTAGCAGATGTACAACATTAGCTTTGCTTTTTTTATCTTATTTTTCAGGTGTATGTCCATCCCAGTGACCATGAGGGCTATTCGGAGGAAAGCTGAAACCATTCAGGCCGACACCCCAGCACTGTCCCTCATTGCAGAGACAGTTGAAGACATGGTGAAAAAGAACCTGCCCCCGGCTAGCAGCCCAGGGTATGGCATGACCACAGGCAACAACCCAATGAGTGGTACCACTACACCAACCAACACCTTTCC